GCAAAATACTGTATTGTCATAATTTTTCAGTCGATAGAACATGGCTGCTAATGAATATGTGGGCCACTGATGAAGCGGGCGACAGCGCCGAAACGTACGTATGGAACCTGCCATACCAACCTCGAAAGGACCTAAACATTCTCACAGACTATATAGAATGTTTATAACGAGTTTCAAACAGTGGACGAGGTGGATTTCTACAATATCACTACCAGCCGTAATTCACGACTAAGATGTGTGAAAACTAAGCTCCAGTGCGCGATAGAAAGCCCGCACTTCAACCCTGTTCAGAGTCAAAATGGGCATGTGCACTTCTGATGCGGGCGTACACGCGAAACTAGAGGCTCGGTACCAATCTTGAAAATCACAGAATATTGAATGTTCATTCAGTACGACTGCCGGGCAGCCGTGACGGCGGGGCTGCAGACAGGTTCTGTGCGATACAGAGCGATGTGCAAATGGGCGTCAGTAGTGTAACGGACAGAGCACGCATTCCCGGAAAGAGTGAGGTGCGGGTTCTAGTCCCAGCTGACGCGAAAGTTTGCACATCTCTCTACGTCAATCGGTATATATTTGTAACATCATACCACCGTTATAAGCGGTTAAATGAGAAAAATATCATTATATTGAATGTTGGAACGAGATTTAAAAACAGTCGATAGAGGAGTCCCAACAAGATTATCAGCTGAAAGTAGATCTATGGAAACGCGATGAGCTTACTGCGTCTACGTTCTCGCCAAAGCGAGTAGAGAAACAAACGGTTCTACATTGAGACAAGTAAGATCCACCAAGGTCCTTCCAGAAGGCAGAGCCTACTTGACTTTCTGATTCGCGAGGGAATGAAACTCGAGTCAAGTGTTTTCGACAGATTTTTACAATCTTTAGCGCGATAGGTGGCTCAAATTCGTTTCCTCGTATTCGACCCTTTAACACATACATAGTTTCAATATTGTAAACAAAGTAAGCGAATAAAAAATGAGCAGTCCAACAAACACAAATCAAATAAATTAAGTTATACATAAATAAACTGAACCATAACTATCACTGAACCGTCTAAGGGGCAAATAAAGTCACTTTGTTTCGAAGTTACTTTTTCCACTTTTACTCCGCTCCGATAACCAATTTACTCTTTCAATTGACCTCAAAATTCCTGCACGTCATAAACAAGATCGAAAATATTACATGATGAGATGACAGAAAGAAAGAGTAATAAAATATAAAATGAAAGTCCAAATGAGCAAAAATATTATATCTCCTACGCGTTTCAAGCGGCGCGCTTCCGGACTCACTTGAAGCGCGTTACCTATGCGTACGTTTCTGATAAGAATAAAACATGTTTCGACGCGTTAGGTCTAGAGCTAAACAGGCGCCTATTTCGTCCTAGTGGAACTCATCAGTAGCACCCCCTCCCCCCTCGGTTCAGCCGACCCATTGAGGGTAAATAATCCTCATGAAGGAATCGACGCTGATAAATAAATCACCACAAGTCAGATGATGGAATTACTGACATTGCCGATTCCTTCACAAAGGATTATTTGTCTCATGGGATCGGATGGAACCGAGGGAGGAAGGGGAGGGGGGGCGTGCTACTGATGAGTTCCAGTAGGATGAAACAGGCGCCTGCTTAGCACTAGACCTAACGGCCCAAAATGTGTTATATCTTTATCAGATCATATCGTTTTGAGCGGGTCCATAAAAAAGCGGTCGAAAAAAGGGTATGTGTGTTTTTCAACGTATTCTTTTTTCTTGCGCCCGAGAAAGATGGTGACCACTGGGTTCAATAGGACGATCGCTCCATCGCTCAGTTCTCGAAAAGGGAAGAGGAGAAAAAAAAAGAACTACAAGCCAGCCAGTTAAAAGAATTGAGCAGTCAATAAAGAGGACTGTTTTGTATGCACGCGTGTACACTATAGTGTTCATGTCGTCCAAAAGGTTCTCTAATCGCAGTTATTGGTTAACATTCGAAAATAATTGTTCTTACGAGGAAAACCCTATGAATTCACCAACGTTTCATCGACCAAAACAGAAAGCATTTTTACGCATTTAGACCTAATTTTGGTAAGATATAGAACCCATTGGGATGAATAAAATCCGTCCTAATGCAAAAGGTAATTCCTTAAGATAGCCAAATAGCTGCCAAGAAAACTCACCGATTCTTACTGATCGACTGAAAAATTGGCACAAAATCCTCGAATGAAAGACGGGCCTCTTTCTCGTAAGCAGCACAGCATCGTCCAATTTCCGCTTCAGTTGGATTTTGTCCAAGAGCACGAAGAACGTCACCAACATGAAAAGAGAAAACAAGTACAACATTCGTTTTACTTCAGTTTATCACTTTATTTGACCCGTATCACATTTCCTTTTTTTTTCACTGCGCGGGTCCCATACTTCTAAGGGTTTCTCTCTCCTTGAGGACTTCATCTTCCTCGGAAACAATATAGAATACTGGTCGAGCACGTCTCCTCGCAATCTCGAGTACAGCCAGGCTGGGGCGTTCTGTAGGGCGTTCGCCATGATTGCCGGAGAGCGTCGGAGAACCACCCCGCGTCGAGCCACGCCGAATATCACTAGCCAACTAGACCACAGCTCCCCTTCCTACTACATTCTAACAGTACAAATGTCATACCAAAACACAAATACACAAAAAGGGTTCTTTTGATTAGGAGAGGACAAATGAAAAGACAGATCTCATTTGCTAGAGAGAATGCTAGATCTTTCACATGAATTTTGGTGAACTATTCCAATTGGGATGATATTGTCTTACTTTCTCGAAAAGCAACTGAAGCAGAGACGATGCTCAAGGAACTCAACGAAGCGGGGAAGAAGGTCGGACTACGTATAGATCGCATGAGGACTCAATTCGTGAAAAAACTATGGTGCAATGATGAAAGATAGACTGGATGGATCTTTGAATACGGAGACCTCCTCGTACGTATACCTTGGTCGATCACTGAATATGGAGAACAATATGAAGGACGAACTTGACAGAAGAAGAAAAGCAGCGTGGACCGCATTTGGGCCTCTCAAAGAAGCCACCGACCAAATAACGGACCCCAAATTTACCCGCCAACCATTTTGATTCAGCGGTCCTCACCAGCACTCTGTTATGCAGCGGAGACGTTGGCTGACACTTCGACCAGTCAAGACTACTGCGAACAACTCACAGAGCGCTTGAACGATGTCTTCTGAAAATTAGTCGACTCTCACATCACCTAGCCGGTTTGCGCAGCTCATATCTCAGGACGTTACCTCATCTTAGTGATCCAGAAGAATTCACATCAATAGCGAAGCACAGATGAGCCGGTCATATAGTGAAGGAGATCAGATGACAGATGGGCAAAACGAACTGTAGAGTGGACGCCACGAGCATTTACTTGTCCCCGAAGACGACCATCTACAGGTTGGGCGGATGTATTCGCGAGAAGAATTAAAGCTGTATTCATATCTATAATAGCAACAACTGCATTCGTACCTGCCCATCTTCTACTGATCCACGGTATGAAAACCACCACCACGGACGACAATTGCGAGAACATGTGCTGGGGTCCGCACAATTCGTGGAGACGGCCCATCCAAGTATCCAAGTAAGTAAGTAAGTATCATTCAAAAGCAGAGAGTTGAGGCTACAGCCCACGTCGCCAGTATTCGAAAAAGACTTTTGACGCTGCTATAGGAGAAGATTTCTTGGCTTCAGTAACGCCTATTTCGCGCCGGACTGAGCACTTTCTTTGGACTATTAAAGGTCGTGCAATAGCGCAAACTCCTCTGATTCCAACCTGTGCTTATATCCTGAAAAGAGCGTTTCTCTGAAACGCAGTAGGTAAAATAAGTTGGATCCCATCTGCAATCAAGGGACTCCTTGGCCGATTCAAGCGCTCACGTTCGATGACGCGATATTATCGATTTTTCGGGCATATGAACGCGCAGAGAAGTGTCCTTCGAGCAGTTCACGTGGCTGCTACAGCCAGCAGCACGTGAACTGGCCAAAGACCCCTTGGGTCGCACATGCGAATTCAACCTTATTCTACCTGCTGCGTTGCTGAGAAACGGCCTTTTCAGGATATAAGCACACCATTGGCATCAGGAACCACTACGCTATCTAATAATTACTAATCAGCTGTATCACCTGACGTCTCGTTGATCACTGAGTGACTCGAGCGGGCACCAGCAACACTTCCGTTTTTCCCTATTGCGTGCAAGAGTAGCCCAGCGGGTTTCCTCGCTCTAGGGATTCGTTGAGCATCACATCTTTCTTCTATGCTATTCGTGAAGAAATCGGACCATCGGGTCGGTGGTCTTCTATGATCTGATTACTAATAGTCCAACGAAAGAGCTCTGTCCAGCGAGAAACTATGCGAGTCTGAGACACAGTTTTGCGCCGAGATCACAGCGTTATAGGAGATTCGCAAAAGCCGTCGACGTGGGACTGTAGCTCAAGTCTCTGCTTCCGAATAATCACATATACTCCCACGAAAAGTTCCTCTCTAGCGAGTGAGGTCCATTTTGCATTTGTCCCTCCTAATCAGAAAAAAAAACCAAAAAACAGATAATGTGATGGAAATTCGCTCACGAACCTGTTGTACGCTGATCTTGTCGTCTCCTCTGCTGTCAAAATAACAAAAAACCTCGCGACAATCGGCTAACTGATCATCCATTGCACTTACCATTAACTCTGAAACTACAGTCACTACTATTCAATCGAAACAGTACACTTTCAAAAGAAAACAGCTCAAAGTACAACTATAAGAAGTGCAGACGTAGAGGTTAAGCGTCATGAATTCCACGAAAACAGAAAGATGACAGGCAAAAATATTTATGAATAACAAGTACCCTTCAAGATAAGCAAAAACCGAGAGAACTATGATAAATGCGAAGAAACACTGGCAAATAACAGACGAATAATATCGTACTAACCAAGATCTCCTATGCTTTTAGTGCTTTTCGGCAGTCTTATGATGTTTGAAAATCGACCCAAGAGAACTGAGTGGTGAGCAAAAATCTGACCTCGGGCGGGACTTGAAACAGCGTTTCACTCATATCGGAGGCGCCTGCTACCACTACACCACCGAGGCACCGTTTCACTACCTACGTTCCGATATGTTTCGCTTCAGTATGGTGAAACGCGGGTTCAACTCCCAGCTAAGATCTTCATTTTGCCCATCACTCTATTGATAATTCTCCTGAAGTACAACTGTTGGGTGATGTGCAAAACTCTGACACATCGGGCAGGAGTCGAACCCACGCCTCACCATTGCCGACCGGACAGCGAACATTCTTGGATATCATATAGTTACAACACCAATAACACTGCTACCAAAGCGATAGAATAAAGAATTCTTGTAAATAAACTATATAATCATGACATATACAAACTTACATACTGAAAATAATTCAAAAAACGCACAAATTAACAAATAAAAAGTAAATTCGACAAGAAAAAACCGATGACAAATGGGAGATCGTGAATAATAAGTCCTCCATTGAAAGAGTAAAAACAGGTACAAAGAAAAAATTACAAAAGGACAAAGAAAAAAGGACGTACAAAAGCACGAATCGCTCGGAAAATCCCATATATAAGAGTAGTTCACATAGATAAGAGCGGTTCAATTTCTGCAAAAAAAAAAAAGGTACAAATCCGCTCTCTTTTCGGGGATTTAAAAGCATAGTAGATTTAGTAGATTTATGGGCAGTTTTTACCCACTTTTCAAAACTAAGAAAAAATAAAAATTACTTAGATCACTACAAAGTACAATTTTTCCGCACAGACCGCTCTTATCTATGGAATCTAAGGGTAATGTAAATATTTTGGTAATAATATAGTAATCCTCAGGACCATACCAGTAGAGCAAAGTGATGAAAATCGATCGAAAGAGCCCCGAACGAACACTAGAACATGCGAGCGATCGGTGTGGGCCGTTATCGGCATTAAATCATCTACATTCTCACGGCCGGTCGACCACCGGAGGACATTCACAGCAGAGCAACCCGACAGCGCCCTTATTCGTCATACTCCCTCTTTTTGGTGAACAACCTTTGCCCCGAAAAACACGGGGAGAGAAAAATTACGTCAGAAAAAAGAATTAGTGACAAAAAAACATGAAATGTCTCTCTCTCTCTCTCTCTCTCTCAGCTTCTTCTTCTTCGTCTTTCTTTCTCTCTCTCTCTCTCTAAGAAGAAGAAGAAGAAGTCATACTCCCTCTCTCTGGTGAGCAATCTTTGTCCCAAAAATTAGAAGGGGAGAAAAATTACGGCAGAAAAATAGAAATAGTGACAAAAAACAAGAAATGCAGATCACGAAGGTGAAGAATAACGACTGGAAAAATACATATGGAAGGGAAAATAGAAGATAAAACACACCCGAAACCGTCAACAGCACCGTTAACAATAAACAATATAGAATTCCAAACTTCCTCAGGTTTCACTACCTTTTCGCAGTTTTATAATGTTTCAGAAATACCTAAGAGAATTGGCTGGTAAGCAAAAATTCCGACCTCAGACGGGAGTTGAACCCGCGTTTCGTCCATACCGAGGACGCGTGCTCACACTACACCACCGAGGCCCGCGCTTATGGCTCAGCCTAACTGGATTTTTAGAGCGATATTGCGTACCCGAACAAACCTGTCGATGGTTGGTGACTGATAGATAAGACAGAGAGATACTGAAGAATGAATGGTGACTAAGCGGTAGCCTCTGTGGTGTAGTGGTAGCACACGTCACCGGCATGCATGAAACGCGGGTTCAACTCCTGTCTGAGATCCAGTTTTTTACTTACCACTCAATTCTATTGAAACACAATATAGAGTACTGTAATAGTTACGCGACTACAAGTACTGAATAGTCTTTCACCACCGAATCGCTCGAAGACTGCTGCTTGTCAAAACAGGTCGTTAATTCCACCGACGAGAAATGAAATCACCAAACCTCCATCTCGTCGAAGAATAAATTCAGCGAAACGATGCGATACGACAACTGGAATGGTGATAAACTAGGATGTTATTCTGATAATTATTCTTTGAGCCACGAATGTCAATGGTCTGTTAAAGGAGGGCTGACTTATAGAGCCCGATACACGTGCTTCGATCTTGCGATCTCGTCAGTCGGGCAGTTACCCTTTCTCGTCTTTTGCCAATCCTGTGAGGGTGCTCCAGTCTCCACACTAAGAGTTAGCGACGACGAACGTTTTACACTCTATGTCCAGTGAAATTATTATGATGGAGCACCCACACAGGATTGGAAAAGACGAGAAAGGGTAACTGCCCGACTGACGAGATCGCAAGATCGAAACAGGTGTATCGGGCTCTATGAGCCAGCCCTCATTGACAGACCACTGACATGTGTGGCTCAAATAATGATTATCAGGCATATTAAAATTTGAGCTGTGGTCTTAAGAAAACACTCGAAACGGAAGATAAGATGTTATTACTTCCCCATTTTCTCTTGTTATCCAGAAAAATCCAGAAAAACTGGAGGCATAACCCGCTAATACAGGCGCATACGGGTGGACACCGCACTGATTACAAAAGTCAGTTTTGGTACTTGTCCATTAGCGAGGCGACAAAGAAAAAACGATCTCATTCGCTGTACAAGAAATCTTCATAGGAATGTCAGCAGTCTTTTGAAAGCTTGAATCTCTGACAAGCGCCCTATATGGCCGTCGAGAAAAAATCTTTTTATAGCACTGTAGCATCCAGAATGAAATTATGTTCCACACCCACTACGCGCTTCATTTTATCACACATATAAGTCCTGGAACCATGAAAAGCATCATATCAACGTGCAGATGAATTTCGTAGTATCTGAACCAATCCTTCTTCGTGGAGTTTCTTTCAGAGCGGAGATAAAATTCCCATCAAATATCAAGCTGCATCCCACATATCCAACGGTCAAAGCATCGATTAATTGGCTCGCCCTCCGACCGCATGGATTAGCCGATAATCAAGCTCCTTAGAATGTAAAATTCGATCTTATCTTTCCTGCTAACAATACTACGGAAATAAGGACAGCGTTAGGAATCACTGAAACATACGCTGTCGAATGATTACTAGTAGTCTGAGGAGAGAGCTCTGTCCGGCGTGGTGTATAACATAAATGTTTTTTCTACTCCAGCGCTTTCTAGAGTGCCTTTCCAAAAAGCAAACACATTTTTGAGACCTTCAAAACTTGTGCTTTCGAATGAATACTAATACTCAAGGGAGGAAGTTTCTAGCGAAATATAAGAGAGATAAGAAAAACAAAACAAGTGGTCGTGTAAAACAATTCTATTTTGGCTTCTAAAGCGTTATAAAAGCTTTCCTCGAAATCCGCTCGAGTGGGGTCTGGCCAGAAATTTAAGCTTTCGAATGACTGCTAATACTACCATAGAAAATTCCTGTCAGCAAATGAAATCGGTTTTCATTCTCCCGCCTCATAATGGGCAAGTACCCAATTTTTATGGTCTCATCATTGCTCACGACGACGAGCCTCGAGGCCCTCATGTAAGCCTTTGAATGGAAAGCCGCGAAAACCAGCATGAATAATAAGAAATTATAGAACAATGAGCTTTCAATCGACTTTTCTGAGACCTCGCTTAGAAATCCAATGTAGTCTGATCGAATGTTTTAGGCCTTTCATGAGGTATGACACGGTACGTCTAGTACTAGACATACGTGCCAGCATTCTTGCAAGCCTCAGCAGTAGTACATGCCATTCGGCTCAGCTCTACTATTATAGGGAATCGACGCCAAAAAGTATCACTCCAGGCTAGCTAAGTGAAATGATCTTCTGATGTTACCCATTTCTCTTCACAGTGACTGGATTCAGAAGTCAGAGTCAACTTTTTCGGCGTTGAATCCCTATTATAGCAGGGTGACCAGGATGGCATGTGCTACTGATGAGGCTTGCGAGAAAGCCGAAACATACTCTACCACAAGAGACGCCATATCAGCCCTTAATAAAGAGGCTTGAAACATTCTATCAACTACTAAAAAAACCCTGCTACTTATATTAGATGGCGACAAATTTTCTACCGACCTCATCGCTGGACAGGAAGTTTCACCAGAGTGTTAGTATTCTTCGAAAGCTTGTATCTTCTAACTACAGCCCTTACGTGGTCGGTTTTCTAAAACACCCTTTTATAGCCCTTTAAAATGCAGAATAAAATAATGTTTCACACGACCACGTGTTTTCTTTCTTATTCCGCTTATAATTGTTAGACAAAATTCTTCCTTGGAGTAGGAGTACTCATTCGATAGCACAAATTTCGAAGAACTCAAAAATTTGTTTGCTTTTAGAAAAGCTCTTCGATAGTGCCGTAGGAAGAAGAAAATACATGCCCTTAACTCGCAGGACAGAGCTCTTCTTAAGACTATTATTAATCATTCGATGTCGTAAGTTCCAATGATTCTAACGTTAGTGCTTCTTTTCTGGAAATACCGTTTAGCAGGGAAGATCGAACGAGTTTCACATTTTCGACGACATTGTTTATCGCCAATTCACGGAGCGGGGCAGGGGCGGGCGAATCGTCGCGTTTGAAAATATTGTTATTCAATGGGGATTTTTTCACCACATGACAGAAACCTCAGATCGAAACGCAGATGCTGATGATACGGAGAATTCTCTACAAGCTAATATGCTATTCGTGCTTCCAGCGAATTATACGCATGAGAAAATGAAGGCGAAAGGCGAGTGTGAAACATAATTTTATTCTGGATCTTACAGCGTTATAAAAAGGTGCTTTGAAAAACCGGTGGAGCTATAGCCAGAGATCTAAGCTTTCGAATGATTACTAACACTCCTACGAAGATTTCTGTCCAGCAAATAAGATCGGTTTATAAATTTGTCCCCAACTAAAATATAAGTACCAAAATTCTTCTCAAAAGTATTTTTTATACGAGCTAGATTAAGATCTTATTATTTTTCCCAGCTTTTTAGAGAAATCCTCCACTAACATTGAAAACAGCTCTTTGACAAAAGAAAAGAAGAAATTTCTAACACTGATGAAGTCTAGAAAATGCGCAGTGTCTCAGACACATCACTTTTTTCATTACGAACAAAAAGACCTGTGCTACTTAATAGCAAAGATTGTGAACTCAGTATAAATTATCTCGGTTTTATTCATGACTTCTCTAATGCTTAGACATCGTTAATCTGAGGAGTGCAATTAATTTTAGGTCACACTGCATTGAATTAATGCCAAATTCACTACGATGCACTTGCAATTTTGCATAAATATGAATAATCACGTAGTTGATATCCGACTTTTTTTCTTGACAAGTAGTGACACGTCTTTGGTGCATTACTATTAATCGTAGAGGTAACCGAAAGGCAAAGCTGCTGAAAAAAAAGTCCTATTGGGCCTCATCAGTAGCATACCTATCGGCTCAAAACATGTCCATATCCTTATCAGATTATATCAGTTTTGAGCAGGTCTGTAAATGAGCGGTCGATAGCAGAGGTATGATTCATTATAAAAGCCGCAAGTTCGACTGCCGGTCACCACAACGTCAGGTAATACCATTATCCGACTTGAGGTGATTATTTTTTACTCGGCGTCGATTCCTTTAGAGGATATATCTACCTCAAGGGATCGACGGAACCGAGGAAGGGTGCTACTGATGAGTCCCAATAGGACGAAATAGGCGCCTATATAGCACTAGACCTATCGGCTGAAAATAGTCATATCCATGATAGATTATATCGTTTTGAGCGAGTCTGATAAAGAACCTCTTGAAAGGCTTAGAATATCCGTCAGACTACATCGAACTTTCAAGCGAGGTCTCAAGATAGTCTTATGGAAGTAATGTAATCACAAAAGTTGTTGAGATCTCTGTGACAGGGATGCTTACTGTTTACAAATGTAAAGTACCAAACTGAACAGAGGCTTCCTTTCCTTCTTATTGTGAAGATCAACAGATTACCGTTGATTCTCCATGCAAATAACATCACGAAACTCTACCAATAATCTGTACCATTTCAAAGGTTCTCCAATTTTCGAACTAAACACAAAATATGGAAGAGAATCTCCTTACTTAGAAGAACATTGGAGTGTGCCATGAACATGAAACTCGAGAAGAACATATGGATAACCTTCAACGACAATCTCACCGTGCACCAGTGATCTTGAGATTGTTGTTCTGAAATCAGCAAGACCATAGAACAAAAATATAAACAACTAAGCACTAATTGAGGCACTAATGATAAGTTTCATTGGAATGCACTCTGCAAAACATTTAATTTTACACAAAAACGAGTAAAAACCTTGAAAATTTTGGGTTTTTTACAAAAAAAAATGTAGTAGATATCCACCGCTTGCCACAGATCGCCATGGATCAGATTGAAAGTCACACGTTCCGTGACTATTTGCAAGTAATCATTCTTTCTAACACACCCCAAGGCGTTGCGCTAGTGGTTGAAAGTGCTCTACGACGCGCACGTGGTCGATGATTTGATCTCACGCTCATAGTTCACCAAGCCGTCAATACATCGGGGTTGACGAATTTGCACCAGGATTTTTCTGGGAGGATAGAAGCACTGACTTAATACATCGGAGGGCCACTGCGAGTCAATGTGAAAACTAGATATGCATTCAATCACAATCCCTCAAACGATACTCGATGACGTTGAATGCATGGCGCATCTCTCGAGGACTGATCAACGCAGAGAGCTTTTAGAGCTTTATAAGTCTTGCTAAATCAACGTTCATAACGCAAGAGATTCTGGGTTCACTTCATCGAAAGGATAGAAGCTCTCGGTATTTATCAATCCAAGACAAATGTGCCA